TTATAAGAATACAAGTCATTCTCTAATTAATAAATGATCAAAGGATATGAACAGGCAATTTTCAGAGGAAGAAATTAAAGCTATCCAAAGTCATATGAAAAAAATTCTCTAAGTCACTATTGATTAGAGAAATGCACATCAAAACAACTCTGAGGTACCACATCACACCTATCAGATTGGCCAAGATGACAAACCAGGAAAATGATAAATGTGGAGAAGATGTGGGAAAATTGGAACACTAATGCATTGTTGGTGGAGTTGTGAACTGATCCAACCATTCTGGAGAGCAATTTGGAACTATGTCCAAAGGGCTATAAAAATGTGCATACCCTTTGACTGAGCAATAGCACTTCTAGGGATGTATCCCAAAGAGATCATACAAATGGGAGAAGGATCTACATGGACAAAAATATTTATAGCAGCTCTTTTTTGTGGTGGCAAAGAATTGGAAATTGAGGGGATGCTCATCAGTTGGGGAATGGCTGAACAAGTTATGGTATATGAACATAATGGAATACTACTGTGCTATAAGAAATGATGAGCAGGCAGACTTTAAAAAAAACTGGAAAGACTTATATGAACTGATGCTGAGTGAAGTGAGCAGAATCAGGAGAACATTGTACACAGTAATAGCCACATTGTGTGATGACTAACTTTGATAGACTAATCTCTTTTTAGCAATGTAAAGATCTAAGGCAACTCCAAAAGACTAATGATGGAAAATGCTGTCCAGAAAAAGAACAATGAAGTCTGAATGCAGATCGAAGCATATTATTTGCACTCTCTCTCTATCTTTTTCTTTCTTTGTTTCTTCTTTCTTGTGGTTTCTCCCACTGGTTCTAATTCTTCTTTACAACATGACTAATGTGAAAATAGGTTTAATATCAATGTATGTGTAGAGATTCTATCAAATTACATGCCATCTTGGGGTGGGGGGAGGGGAGAGATGGGAGAAAATTTGGAACTCAAAATCTTACGGAAGTGAATGTTGAAAACTAAAAATAAATAAATTTATATTTTTTAAAAAAGAATATCAGGAAAGGAAGTTCCATTCAAAATCATGACAACATCAACAAAATTTTCTTAGACTCAATTTATCAAGACACATTGAAGACCTAAATAAAAATGCTCCTTCCATCCAGCGTTCATAGGTGGATTACTCCAATATAATGAAAGTCATGATACTACCCAAAGAAATTCGCGGATTGAATGTTACATCAAGCAAATGACCAAGAGAGCCTTTTGGAGAGCCAGGCTGAATTTCTTAGAAAATTTGTTTGCAGGACTAAATGATTTAGAATCTCAAGGCAAGGTGCTGCTAGGTGGCACAATGGATAGAGCACTGGCCCTGGAGTCAGAAGGGAGGACCTGAGTTCAAATCTACCCTTAGACACTTGACACTCACTAGTTGTGTGACCCTGGGCAAGTTACTTAACCCTGATTGTCTTGCCAAAAAATAAAATAAAATAAAAAGAATCTGGAGACAATAATGGGAAAAAAATGTAGTAATGATGAAAACAGAATAGCACTTTCAAACCTCAAATTATAGAGCAAAATGGTAATCATCAAAATTATTTAGTAGTGGTTAAATTTTTTTTAAAGTGGATCAGTGGAACAGATAAATTAAGGAAGAATCAGAAACAATTGACTTTAATAACTTGGTGTTTGATGAACTCAGGAATATAAATTACTTGAGGAAGAATTAAGTACAGGATCTAAACATTAAAGGTCATAGCATTTTTTTTAATTAAAAAGAACCCAACCAGGTATCTTTCACAACTATTTCCAGGGGGAGAATTCTTAACCAAATATGGAACAGAGGTAATCACAAAAGATATAATAATTTTGATGCCCTTAAATGGAAAAGGTTTTGCACAAACATAATTAATACAGCTTGGATAAGAAGGGAAGCAGCGATTGAGGAGGAAAAACTCTGCATCGAATATCAATGATAAGAGTCTGATACCTGAGAATTATTGTGAACTAACACAAATGATTTTAACTGGACCTTACTGAAGACCATTTTCCCAATGGATGTAAAAGTTTTAAAATAAACCTCTCAATAACCATATGAAATATTATTCCAAATGCCTAATAATACAAATGTGATTTTTAAAAACCCCTGATGTTTCATCACACACTCAACAAAATGATAAAGATGACAAAAGGATGTTAATGGTAATTGCTGGAGGGATTGTTAAAAAATAGGCACATTAACACACTGCTGGTTGAGCTGTGAATAATTAGTCCAACCATTCTAGAAAGCAATCTGTCACAAAAACAAACAAACAAACAAATAAATAGATAAATCTAGGGCAGCTAGATGGCATAATGGATAGAGCACTGGCCCTGGAGTCAGGACGACCTGAGTTCAAATCCAGCCTCAGACACATAACACTCACTAGCTGTGTGACCCTGGGCAAGTCACTTAATCACAATTGCCTCACAAAACAAACAAACAAACAAACAAATAAATAAATAAATAAGTGAATAAAAAATAAACACATGAAATTTAAAAATAGAAAGCAATCTAGAAGTATACTAATAAAGTGATAAGAGTATCCATACCCTTTGACTCAGAGATCCAAGAAAGGCTCTGTATACAACAAAATATTTATAGCAGCACTTTTATTGTAGTACTAAAGAACTAGACACAAATAGATAATTATCAATTGGAGAATGGTTAAACAAACTACAGTCCATGAATGAAGTGGGATATAATTGTATTTTAAGAAAAAATGAATATAAGGAATAACATGAAACAAGGAGAACTGGGGAAAAACATACCCAAAGATTTCAACATTGTAAATAGAAAGAATAGTGATAATAAAACAACTGAAGCTGAATTTCACGAAATATTACAAGCCAAAGCTTGGTCCTGAAGAAGGGATGTGACAATGTGGGGGACTATGGGTATGGAAGACTGAATATAAGGTTTGATATGAGTCAATGTGTTGATCAGTTTTACTGAAATGTCTTGGATTCTCTTCTTCAGTCTTTGTTATAACGGTTGGCTATCTGAGAGGAGAAGGAGGAAGGGCATATTAGGCAATATAGGTGAGGTAAAAAGAAAGTTAACAATAATAATCATTTGAAAAAGAAAAACTTCATAACCACCTATTCCCTTGATTGCAAGCAGACCTTATAATTCTAGCACCAAAGGTCAATTACATGTGGGACCACCAAATAGGAACATATATATTCTATGTCAATTATTTCTCCTTAACCTCTCTCTTCAAATGAACTCTCTTTTGTGGTGGAATAAATGCCTAAATAAGTGACATAAATTTCAAATGATTTGAGAAAAAGCAGCTAGTGAAAAGATTTTATATATCAATATCAGACCTAAAAGTTGGTGGATATAGCAAAGTTTGTAGGTGAACAGGGGTTTGAGGGGGAGAGATAATAATCAGAAGCTTTCAAAAGGACACAAATAATGTTTTAGGATATGTGCAATGAAAGGTAGAAAGATAACAGGATAGAAAGAGAGACTGTGAAGTCAAGAAGACCTATTTTCAAATCCTGACTCTCACCCACAGAGGTGCCAGCCTGGGAGAATAAATAAATCATTCAGTGACTGTAAGTTACAAAGCAGTTGTAAATCTGCATTAATAAAGGAAGTTTCCTCATAAGGAGAATCCTATGTGAACATAATCATAGTTTTAAAATCAAAATATATTTAACAGCTTAATGATTTGGTAAAAAAAAATGACTTCCATGCAAATTAGCAACAACTATAATAACTTCTTAGTTACGTGATAATTAAAATGGTTTGCCAATCAGCACCATAATCTTCATTTTTATATACTCTTTACTCTGTTAAAACTATGTCAACAGTCTATGTAGAATATCAAATGAAACAAAAAAATTGTGACATCTCTCATTTCATTATTGAAAACAATGAGATGTCAAACAATTCATTTGAATTTTCCACTGTTCAGTCAGTCTGCAAATTTGTGAAAAGTCAAGTTTTGTTATAAGGATGAAACCTTGAACCAATAAAATAAAGCATTGAGGAGAAAATGAAAACTTTGGCATTTTCCCCTTTATCACCTTAGATATAACAGAGAAAATATTGAATTAGTCAATGCCTAGAGGGAAAAAATATGCATGAAATTGTCAATAGAAGCAGAACTAGATTTAGAGCAGGTTGTTCTATTTAATTGCATTCTTTAGTTAGGTCTATTTGACCCTATGAAACATCTCCCTGATAATGGATCTGATAAAAGAATAGTAGAGTAAGGCCATCATTAGACATTCCACAGTAATGGCAAGTTCACACGCCAGGTAGACATGATTTTAAAAAGCACACTGATTAGAGATGTGTATTGACGTAAAACATGGAGAATGAGTTCCCTAAACATACTCCACCATGGGCAGATACACACCTTTCCTGACTTTGTGCCATAAACATCCTGTGAGCTCTGTCACAGACATACCAGAGAGATTAGGGAAGGGTACAATTAAAGTTTCTGAGGATGCAGCTTTCATTAACCTCATGAGACAGCATTAGCAATATTATTCAAGCCTTTTGATTCATTCTGTGCCTTAAGATATCTAGTCTCATGCTGTATAGCCCCATGTATGAGACTTTCTCCAGAGATATACACAACACAAGGAACATAAACACAGACACAGGATAAGCACCTAGGTAACCAGACTCCCCAGAGGTACATGGCTCAGCCACACGGAAGTCTCAGTTGGCTGTCTTGCTCTTTCTCCTGACAACAGTCAGCTTTGTTAGTTGGAGGGATAGTTTGAGAGCCTGTGCTAACTTTGATTTTATAGGCTAGCTATAGGTAGCCTTAGAGAGAGAGAAAGACTTGGGTTCCCTTAGGAATATGCACAACAGCTGTTGCCCTCCCCTTCCATAGATAATTGCCTTGCCTTCTGATTGTGGTAGCATATAGTCTCAAGTTCTGTGTCGCACCCTTTCCTCCCCAGACACAACTATTAAACTAACGTAGATAAACACCTTTGAAATAAGGGGAAAGACTCACCATGAATTCAGTCTGGAGTAAATGGGAACTTGTCGTGCTGTCCCTCAACTGTGACCTCGTGAGAACCCGGCTGGCTGACTGCAGGTACTCCATGGCTACTTTCTCCCGTGGGGTCGGCACAGACACAAAAGGCTCGATGGTCCCCAAACCACTCATGTCTAAAGTAAGAGAAACGTTGGATCCTCGCCTGCATTTGAAAATAGTTTAGTTCTACATTAGCAAAATTACTAAAATAAGTAATTATTTAAAGATTACTTTAAAATATTTACCTCCTTGAAGAAGAATTAGATGACTTTTCCTCCTGTGGTTCAAAATTTGACTATGGCAGCCAAACACAATTCCTTCATAGAAACATAGTTACACTTACTGGGATGAGCTTATTTTAATACTTTGAATACCTGTTATATCATCTATGTGGATACTGTATGCACCAACATAGATCATAACCCCTCTAAAACTTTGAAGATGGTCTTTAAGAATTGCTATTGCTGAAAAATTGATTACCCTGGGCCAAACAGGGATAAGCCTCTCCAAACTTCATTGATTGGATATGGTGGGGTTTGGAAGAATGAAGAATTGAAGATGATTTCAATATTGCGAGCCTTGATGATTGTCAATTTTTGAATGGTCATCAAAAAGGGTAGAAGTACTGTGGGATAAGGTATAGACAACTACCTCAATTTTCAAAAGAGAAGAAAATGGAATATGTGAATTCTAGGCCAGCAAACTTGACTTCTGATTCCTGGCAAAATTCTAGAACATATCATTAAAGCGATGGCTAGTAAACATGTAGAAAAGGCAGTAATGATCATAAGGAACCAGCATGGCTTGACCAATAACAGATCATGTCAGATTAACTTCACTTACTTTTTGGGCACAGTTACTAGATTGGTAGGTAAGGAGAATAAAGTAGATCAAATTTGTCTATACTTCAATTAAAGCATCTGGCAAAGTTTCTTACCTACTATTCTTGTGGCTAAAACATACAGATTTTGGTTTGATGATTATACAGGTAGATGGGTTGAGGACTGGTTAAATAGGTGGATCTTAAGAGTAATCATTAATGGTTGAAGATCTGTATGGAAGGACATCTCCAATATAGTATCCCACAGAACTCTACTTGGTCCCTCTATTCTTTAACACTAATTATGACAGATAAAGGCATAGATATCATATTTATAATATTTGAGGATAGCACAAAGCTGAGAGGAATAGCTGACATATTAAATAATAGGGTTAGGATTCCCTCAAAGTCTTAAATATCTAATTTTGGTTTGAATGTAATTAAATAAATTTAATATTTTAGATAAATGGATACCAAAAATCTTAAATATCCAACTTTGGGTTGAATGTAATAAAAATAATTTAGTATTTTAGGTAAATCTATTTTCCATTATTAAAGAAAAAATGGTCAGTTTTTCTCCTATGGATCTAAATTTGACTATAGCAGCCAAACACAATTCCCACAATTCCTTCACAGGAACCTAGTAGTACATATAAAGGCTAGTTTATACTTGGGTTCAAGAAACAGCTGCACAAATATATATGTATATATGTGTGTCTGTGTGTATGTATGGAGGCCTAGATGGACAGTAGCTCATAAGAAAAGTTGAAAAGTTCATAGTGTTTCAGATAATTGCAAATTCAATACAAACCAATTTGAAATAGCCGCTGAAAACAAAACAAACAAAAAAGCCTAGTGCAAACTTAACCTTTATTAGGTCATGGATAGTTTTCAGAATCAGAGAGATGATAATCCTGTTGAATTCTGTGCTGGTCAGACCAAACTTTAAATTCTGTGTTTATTTCTGGTTGCCACATTTTGGGAAGCCTGTTGATAAGCTAGAGTGGAAGCATAAGTAGCAATTTTGACACCTTGGGCAAGTAACACAAATCGTTCTACAGGGGATCAGTTGGAAACCATGACCTCAAAGCACTTTTTGTATTTTGTGATATGAAAATAATGTGGGAAGTAATTAAGATAAATTCACTTGAGAGGAAGGAATTAGTTACTATCATGGCTCCCAGATAGTTATTTTGGATAACTCCCTATTCAATGAATTATCCTTGCTATCTAGGTGCTGAATTCAATTGTTTTTATGTTAAAAGGATACTTTGGGACAGCTAGGTGGCACAGTGGATAGAGCACTGGAGTCAGGAGGACCTGAGTTCAAATCCAGCCTCAGACATTTAATACTAGCTGTGTGACCTCGGGCAAGTCACTTAACCCCATTGCCTAGCCCCCCCCCAAAAAAAAATAAAAGGATACATTTATGAAATATTTGTGACCTCTAAATCTCTGGAGCAAAGTTCTGGTTCTGGTAACATCTATGAAATAAATATTGTCTGGACAAGCTTGAGTAGGATGGTGAAGGTCCTCAAGATTATAATTTGTGACCATAGTTGAAGAAATTAAGGATATTTAACAAGGAAAAGAAAATTTACAAGCTATGGTTTTTTGATAATTAGGAATCTTGATGCCTTGAAAGGAAGAGGAGGGGAGAGAAAAGAAGATGAGAGGAGAGGTGAAAAGAAGAAAGGAGAGGAAAAAAGAGAGAAGAAAGGAAAGAAGAGAAAAGAAAGAAAAAAGTTCACGCTGATATCCATGTCAAATATTAATTTCTAGAGATTAGAATAATGGAGGTAGGTCTTGTGAAATTTCCCTGATGAATTTTCCCCAAAGGACATGTCATATTAGGGAAATGAGTATAAAATATATCATTCATTTATATCAGACTAATGCTTTGAAAGGTAACAAATGATCTTTTTATTAAAAACTAAAAAGATTGATCTTCTTCACAACTTATGGAAATTATTGTGGGAAATAGTGCCCCCTTTCCTTCTTGTCTCTAATTCCTTAACAGATTAATGCTGAACATTGAGCAGGAGGTTCATTACATTTCTGAGTAGTGACATAAAATCCAAACATCATTATTGAATGTGTACAACTTTTCCTCACTGAAGAACATGGTATGGTTTCTACTGGTTGTTGGGTGTGTTCCATACTAAGGAAGTCTGAAACTGAGTGGCAGCTGTTGCTGTGGAAATGGGAAAATAAAGAGCTCTCTAGGGACCAAAGAAATGCATCACAACCAAGAAATATAAATAAAATAGCCGTTTTCCAGGTCTCTGAACCAAGGGTTGGCAGAAAATTATAGTATGGCAGAGGAGTATCTCATTCTACAAAATGTATGCTTGTGTCAGTCTTAGAATGTTGAAAGAGTTTTCAATCCTTTGATCATATATGCGATAAGGTAAAACTCACTATATACTTGTACATTTTTCTTATTGTGAATATTGGAAACACATTAAATAAATTTTCTTAAATACACATAAGTGCTGAGAACATTAGATTGTTTTTCAAGTGTGTCTGATTTATTTTGTGTATGTAGAAATCCTTGATTTGATTGTTTAGAAAATATCCCTGCTATCAGAAAAGAAAGAAATTATGAGGTAGGCCAAATTGTTTTCAGATTCTTCATCAATGGAAAACCTGGGATTTCTGGTGGATGGTTTTGATTAAAAGGAAATAAATGTCCACTGCTTAGACTTCGTTGGTACTTCTTCTTCAATTTGAACTCTTGTCTGGCATTAGGAATGACGGGAGCAAGTGTTGAGAAAGGTAGAATCAGTTTAATGAAAAGCAACAACAAGGCTGTGTATGTCCATTCAGGTGGCTTCTTCAATCCTCTGACTATTTTTATGGCCTTATATCTTATGCTCTGGAGCCCAACTCATTCTTTCAATGCAGAAAGAAATCACTGAAGCAGTAATTCACAATATGGTCTTGTAGCTGGAAAGAGTCACTGCAAATTTGTAGCGGACATTGGGGGTAGCTGAGTAATGATTCTGCTAGTGGCTGTCAAGGGTGGAATGTGGTTAGGCTAAAATCTCTTCCAGCTCTGAATCTCTGATCCTGTGAACTTGGTTGTTTATATAGCTGAAATGATTTCTTATGACACCTACTTGACTTTGGCCTCTAACTCCCTTCCTCACTCCTAATGCTGCTTTCAACAAGTCCCCCAATCCCAACTTGCCCTTTTTTCACCTTTTTTCCTTCTCATTTGTCCCTATTCTACATCCTCTAACTGTGCCTTAACTAGACATTTGGTATAAGTTAGGGCTACAGCTTTGATCTTACCACCATTTTTCTATTAAATGGCTTACTGTGGATGTTTGGGAATTTTCTGAATGCCACACTACGTCCAATAGGCATTCCATAAGGAGTACCCGCTACACCCTGTTCTTATGAGTAGTGTGCTATGCAGAAATTTCTTCTGGAGACTCACAATAAAGTATACAGTATGATAATTTAATGATTAGCAATAATTCTGATTGGGCAGTTAGGTGGCACAGTGGATAGGTGGCCAGGCCTGGAATCAGAAAGATGTGAATTCATATCTAGCCTCAGACACTTACTAGCTGTGTGACCCTGGACAAGTCACTGAACCCTGCTTGCCTCAGTTCTTCATCTGTAAAATGAGTTGGAGAAGGAAATAGCAAATGACTCCAAAATCTTTGCCAAGAAAATCCCAAAAACAGTCACGAAGAGTCAGGCATAACTGAAATGACTCATGAGAACAAAAATAATTCTGATGATAATAGCTTTTATTACCATTGTGAAACGAAGGGAAGGAATGGTCTCATAAGTTCTCATGGATAGGTGAGTACCTGAACAGGAATGAAGCAAAGTATACCTAGATGATTCCTAGAACAGTGTGGCACAGATCCCAGGTACACTGGTCAGTGGAATTTGTTAGGAAAATAGTATATAAATACATATCATCACCAAGTTCATTTCCCTCTGATATCCTGTTCAAGCCTTTAAAATCAACATAAGGAAGGCTTATTACATGATCCTATGTGTGAGACTCGATGCAAGGTGCCTTCCTTCAATAGAAACAGAGAAATTGGACACAGGTTTAGAGGGAAGGTAATGAGTTCACTATTGGACATACTATTTTTAAGTACAAGTGGCAATGCTTGACAAATGATGGAAATTTTGGACTGGATGTCAAAGAAGATTCTGGACTGGACACATGGTACTGACCACCATCTGCAGAGGATTTACAGCTGGAAAAGTGGGAGGGTATAAGATCATGATGGAGAGAGAGAGGAGAGAGGAAAAAAAGAGGGCCAATGACAGAACCTTTTGGGATGTCCACATTTTGAGAGCAGAAGGTGGAA